ACACACACACACACACACACACACACACACACACACACACACACACACACACACCCACCCTATCTGTTTCTCATCCTGTCTCTTCAAAACAATCACAGATAAAGGCAGAAGAGACATCTCAGGGTGAGGCGGGGGCTCAGTGTGTTGCAGGAGGGGCAGGAGCGGGAGTCTCTGCAGGAGACTCCACAGAAGCCAAAGGGACTCCCAAACGCCTCCACGTCTCCAACATCCCATTCCGCTTTCGGGATCCAGACCTCAGGCAGATGTTCGGGGTAAGAATGTCAGAATGCTGAGGGTTGTGGGGGCTCAATTTAAACATCATCTATAAATCAGTCTAGACAGCCTGGGTGCTCCACAGAAGGCCTGCCTTTTTGCTGGGGTGTGAAGACTGACAAAAAAAAGTGAAAAGAAATAAAACATTTGTATGTGTGTGGGTGGGGGATCCTCTTAATGCCCACAGGGGTAGGCTGTTATGTATGCCAGTGTGTTAATGTAAGTGACAATGTAGGAGGGAAAAAAACAGGACAGAGCAGAGTTTAAATTAAGCAAGAGGAAAAGCTAAATGCAATACTGGAAGCTGTCTTTGGTGTAATTGTGACCCCTAGTGGCCAGTAGCTGCAATCCCCTCTAGTGTCAGACRGGCTTCAAAACATAAGATCCTGAGATTTAAACATATAAATAATTTTTGTATTTACGTCTTTTTTCGCTCATTTCTTTGATTTTTTTTCTCAGCAATTTGGGAAGATTCTGGATGTGGAGATTATTTTCAATGAGAGAGGTTCAAAGGTAGGTGCAATTCTGTTTAGCTTTTAGAGCATTTTAAGATTTTAAATAATGTTGGCGTGTAACGTGAGACATTGTTGTGTTGAAAGCAACAAAGCACTGAAATCTTTTCTGCCACTAACTAGTCCTTAATGCAGGAGGCCTGAGTTTCAGTCCTTGTCTTTTCCCTCTGCTGTGTACCTCAGGGTTTTGGCTTTGTGACATTTGAAAACAGCGCAGACGCAGAGAAAGCCAGGGAAAAGCTCCACGGCACACTGGTGGAAGGTCGGAAGATTGAGGTAATTTTCCATTTTCTCTCCCTTTCTCTCTTTCCTTTTTTCTCTCAACTGTCTTCCCTCTGTTCTCACATCAACTCTGCCTGATCACTGACTGCTAACTAGATCCATCCCATCCTCCCTTATGTGATATGCTCTGATGCAGCCCACTGGTATCCTACTCCCCAGTCCTCTGCAATATGTTTCTTGTGTTATTTTTTTCAAATCCAGCGAGACTTTTTCTCTTTTTTTATGGATTTTGTTTATGTGGTGGGAATGATTTGAGGGTGGTGCAAGAACACAAAATGAAAGCATGCTTTGTTACTTGTCATCTGCAGCATTATTTTTCATAATAACCTGTTGCCTCCTCAGCTTTTTAATTTCCCAATGATGCACAATGTGCCACCACACTGATTTTATAACTTTCTCATGCAACMGTTGGAATGATGTTTGTGTAGCTGGCACTGGGGGGGCATGAGAGGAGCCCTGTGAAAAGATAATGCATGGCTGAATGCTGCCGGACGCCCCTTAATWTTTTTTCCTCAGTGTGTGGAAATTCGTCTGTGCTTCCTCTCTCCTGGTGCTGTGGTTGTGACAGCTGGTGGCTCCTGGTGCAACAGCAGCATGCTGGGATTCACAGCAGTACAGACGCATGTTCACTTTATGGAAGTCTGGAATCTTTCTAATGAGTTTTTGAGTTTTTATGTTTTGTCTTTATGCTTTGAGGTTGTTTATTGTGATCTAAATACATGTTTAAATGAAGCATGTACTGAGTGTTTGAAAGTGGAATTTCTTTATGTCAATTGGAGGTTTTGAGCCAGTTATCCATATTCAATCACTGAAGTCACTTTAAGCCAGGATTTGTGCATGGGCTTTCTCTGGTGATTTCCGTTTGGCGTGGGTGTGTGGGTGTGTGGGTGTGTGCGAGTCAGTTCCTGCATGATGAATGAGACTGGACGCTTTTTAGTTCCTTTACTCTCACTTCTGCTGCAGTGTGGTTGAGAATGAGAGGCAGACACCTGCATCTACTGGTACGCCATGTCTCCCCCCCACCACCACCACATCACCTCCACCTTCAGCCAAACAGCAAGCTGAGTGGATACTGATGCAGCCAGCTGTACTCTGCATCAGTCCCACCTGTGCACTTAGTCAACAGTCTGTGTTTGTCCCTGGTATTGCTTTAACACAACTCAGTTCTCTCAAGTCGTGCATGATATTAGTCACTTTTTCTCAAAACAGTGAGAGGTTTGCCTTTGTTTTCAGGTGTCGTGTTGCATGTGTTCCGTTGTGCTCCGGTAGTGGTGATGGTCTGTAGTGAGTCGAGCATCAGCAGCATGGTGGTCCAGCAGCAGGAGTCTATGGAGTGCGTCTTTCTTTCTGTCTTGTTTATTGTGCATGAGCTTGAAGAGACAAAAGGCTGGCGTGGGACAAACTTTGTGTTTTATACATTCTTTCAACCAAGGAAAGAAGGCTGGGCATTTTCTGTTTGGAGCTATGCTCTCCTCGTCTTGCAAATGTTGCTTTTCTTCGTCTTCAGATTTCAGAGTTTGTTGAAGTGTGTCTTGTTYGTTACAGTTCAGAAGCTCTGAAATTCAGGCCCACTCTTTATATGAATATTTAATCTCTGCTGAGTGCGTCTCAGCAGTTTACTATCCACTGGCATGGGTTTAGCTAATAAATCCTTGGTGTGCATGGTTTATATTTTATTTTATATATTTGCTGCCTAATGTAGACTGAACTATAAACAGATTGTGTCTTTTTTTGGCATGTTTTTTATGACTGTTGGATTATTTTTGATGGCACATTACATTTGGTTTCTTTTGTAGTTAGCATGATGCCAGGAGCTCAMAAATGCCTTAAATTCATGAAAAAGGAAAGGCATAATAGCTTCACTATTTAGAAAGAAAACTGGATTATTTTGAAAGAATGTTGTAGTTAAACTGAGAACTGATTGTTTTTTGTTTCTTTCTTCTGGTGCATGACTGTGGAAGTTGCCTAGTTGTTATTTTTGTACTAAGTAGTGGCTCATAGTGTGCATGTGTCACAGCTTAAATAAATAGTACATTAGATAGATGATTGTTGTACCTAAAGTTACACTGTACTTTTCTTTGTCTGGGATAAAACTCTGCGTTATGAAGAAGTCAGTTTCCTGTACACTTCCAATGTTTCCATGTAAGTGGCCCAACTACAGTTCACTTTGTCTCCTACCTGCTTTTCTATCATCCCATCTCCCCATTATTTACTCTCTATATATAGAGTYCTACAGGCCTATATATAAGTGTGACAGTGTGTCTTAGTATGCACTCACAAGTATACACAGTTCGAGCATCTTCACTCATCATCCACGGCTGTCTTTGTTACTGTGTGTATGCCTGATATAAACATTCCTTACTCATCACTCATATCGTAGCATATGTCTGCTGTAGACAATCATACTTTAGTCTTTGCTGACATTTTCTTTTATTTTTTTCTGAAAGAAAGATTATATATTTGTAGTCATATATTTTGCTACACAAAGAGCCCCATTATCCCTGTTAGAGATCCATCAATTGCAGGTTTTCTAGGCTGGTTGTGTTTTTCCGATTTTTGCACAACTTTGACCTCCGAAATCCAATTTACTTTCAAGAACTTTAATAAATCGCACTGCAATTTYATTTTTTTCTCTTCCTGGCCAAACTGAAAATTTGACTGTTTGCATAATGAAGTTTGCAGTAAAAAAAAAAAAAGCTAATGGCTTTGTGCCACTATAAATCTACAAGTATTCCAAACTGTCCATCCATCCATTATCTTTTACCTTGAACTAAAGCCATAACATAATATTTGGGTAGGAAAAATCAGACTCATTAAATTGTTAAATCATTTATTTTATTCTGGTTTAATTCAATTCAGTTTATTTATAAAGCACCAAGTCAMAACAAACGTTGTCTCAGGGCACTGTACACACACAAAAAAATAAAAATAAAATCTAAAGAAGCCAGCAGATTGTGTTGACTCACYTCATCACAGTCTCCCATCCTGAGCAGCAACAGTGAAAAGGAAAAACTCCCTTTTAACAGGAAGAAACCTCCAGCAGAACCAGAACCAGGCTCAGGGCAGGCGGCCATCTGCCTTGAGCGGCTGGAATTGGGAGGACAGGAAGTAAACATATTAAGCTGTTAAGTCTCTCAGAAATCTTAACGTTAAAGTTTTTACTGCGAGCAGTTAGTTAATGTTTATTATTTACTATGTTGTGTTTTTATGTTCTATAAAATAATTAACAGACATATTATTTTAGATTTAGTGGCCTCTTATACATCTTGTGGTTTAGTGTATTTTAAAAACCGTAACCCTCCCACTGTCTTTGTGGGGTCTTTATGACCCCACTCATGTTTGGTGTGGCGGTGGAGTCCTCCTGACCCCACTTAGTTGTGGSGGCAAAGCGGGGTTGGGGTGGGGTTGTTAGGTGGTGTTTCTGGGTGGCCTGGCTGGCTCCCCAAGAGGCAGCCATGACTTTTACATGCTAGCTTTGTCAGCGCACCGCAAACACAGCAGGATACAAACTCTTGAGTCTTTTTTTACTTTATGAAAACATCTGAATCAAATGTGTTTCTAGTGCATCACGTCAGATGATCACCAGTCAAGCTGAAAATCGTCCAACTCTGTTTACAAACTGAGTAATCAATGGACCCTTATTCTGGAAGTTTGCTCCTGTAGTTAAAGGTAATGTAGTTCAATTGGTGCCAATTGTTTTTCTTGCAGATGTTTGATCACCAGTCGTGGTCAGAGAATAATAATCTTTCCATAAAACAGTTTTGTTTTTCAGTCTGTTTATCAACCAGCTACAGTATGGTCATGCTGCTTACTGGTTATCAAAGAAATGAAAGATTACAAGCATCAAAAACCTCCATTGATCAAAAGTTCTACCTTTTTTTACCTACTAGTGTTACTAGTATTCTTATGAATTAGATTAAATATTGTGAGTATAGAAGACAAAGACCCAGTAGACCCCACAGACTCCACACCATCTACCCCTCAAAGATGACGTGTTTGTGGTTTATCTGAATTAGGTTAGGTCTGGAGTGTTAGGGGAAGTGATGGCTCCTCCGCGGCGCAGAGTTTTAGTCAGATACTGCAACACAACAGTGCAGAATACCTAAGGTGTGTGTGAGCGCGCGCAAAATAAGTGTCGCAGCKCTGCATGCAACGTGATGAACCGGAGATGAGTGCATAAAGAGTGTCATCATCACTGCATGGATGTGTGTGGTGGAAATGATGAAAAGACRTTGTGCCTGTGGTTCTGCATGCCTGATAATGCATCTTCTGTCCAAACAAAACTGACTCTACTCAGTTGACCTTGGGTTTCTGGTCGATTGTTTCTGCTTATTTTTGTTTTTTGTCAGTTTTTTGTAAATTCTTCATTTTGTTTGATTTAGCTTAAGGCTTCCTGTTACTTTTGTCTCATTTTTGTTGTAGGTCTTCCTYACTGTTACGGATTTAGCCAGTTCCACTTTGTTACAGTAGCTTTCAGTTTCTGCATGATTTGCCCCTGAGCTTACCTCGTAGTTTACTTTGTATGTTTGAAACGGAAAAGGTTGAATAAAAAGGAGGAAAGAGTTCAAACTTTGCCTCTTTCAACCGTCTGTCTTTGTGTGTTGACTCATTCTTTCATATTTTCCTTCTTGCCACTGCCAGTCTATTTTTGCCATTTTGTATTTTCATTGTAATAATCCCATCTTCACSTAATTTATGTGTTTTATTTCAGTATATTTTCTGTTCAACTGTCCTTTAGTATTTGCTTCTCTGGTGATGGTAATAAAATAGAGATTTTAGTCACTGTGCCCAAGCTCAGTGTTCAGACACACTCATCTTTTTGTGGCTTAACTTTACCACACACGAGTGAGTCCTATCCAACCAGAACGTCCTTGTTTTGAACAGACCTGAGTAGCAGCAAACCAGCTTTTGCAGTTCTTCATTACTGATGAAGACTGGTGTAAATTTCCTGAGTCCCTCAAAGTTATCAGTAAGGATAGTTTAGGGGGGTCTAG